GGGATCCAGGAGAGCCATTTTTCAGCACCACTCAGGTTCATCCATCTGGACAGTTTGGTAAATCAGAATTCGTCCGGAACTCGGTTTTTTTGCAAGTGCAAACAAGGACCCGGAACACTTAGTGATATTCGGCTACCCCTGTGTTTAGCCTTCATCCGTTGAAGAAATAAGAGTCCACGTCAGACGTGGAGCTTCAGATCAAACTACATGCAAATTTCATGGTGAAGCATCTCTCCGATGGCTGTTTTTGCATGACCAGGAGATGGTCTCATTCATTCCAGAAGTCGGGCAAACCAATTATATCGTTCAAGCGTGAACAGGTCCGCCTGTTCAGACGTGAAAACTTAGCTGTGTCTGGCATGCGCTGCTTACATGAGCACTTCAAAAGTCATATGTCAGGAGTTCAAACCCCCGCATGGCTAACGATATACATTTCTGATAAGCTCTAATAAGAGTGAAACTTCAGTCCAGTGCTCTCCCCCTTCAGTGTAAACTCATCAGAATAACTGCTCCAGGACAGGAGGAAGACCGTTCAAATGAAAGTGAAGTGAACGCGAATTTTACAAATAGAGAATTGGTGGACTCAAAAGGGGGAGACCAGTAACAATACTCCAAACTTTGATAACTATCATAAGCACCGGGTACTTTTACTTAATGAAGACGAAAGTTCTCTCTCAGATGTGCCGGACACTACACTTTAAATGCGTAACTGGTGAGAAGTCGCCTCCTAGCTTCATCATTCATCCGAGTAAAACAAACTTTTACGAGTTAAGCAGATGGAAGCAACAGTGATAAAAACATACGGGAGTGTGAAGACGAAGCAAAATAAAGGATGCTGAAAACCTTATGATTAGTGCATTACGAACTATGTATGTATCGTGACATCTCGAATATCGTAGCGAGTGAAACGTGAGGCAGCCTGGTGCAGCACATTCAGTTGCCTGGAAACATCAAAACCGGGAGATCCAGCTGGGTTCCAGGTTAGTCTCTCAAAAAATCAAATGAGTTTGCAAATGAGTGTATATTCGCTAGAATGAAGAGATTTTCAGTTAACCGGACCGACTGAGTAGTCAGAGAGAGGTTCGTTAAGCAATCGGTCGATTGTTGCCTATTCGCTGGGTCGGATTCGGGCCTCTCAGATGGGAAAAAGGCTGTGTAGGTTTGCGAGATTTCCTAACCACCCATGTATACTGGCCACGTTCACTACATTTACTAATAAGCAAGTTCACAAGCTTACCACTATTAAGGTTTATATGTGGGTCCGGGCACTCAGGGTGAAATTCTACATGCCTCCCAGATTGACCTGATAAGTTACGCACACAGGTTCACTTTGAATGCCTATTTGATATGGTCGAAGAGCTTATACCAGAAAAAACCACATAAAACAGACTGGTCTCTGGCAAAACTTGTGAGCGTATCAACGCAGCCGATCTCGGCCGTGACCGCCAAAGGCGCTGCTTGGCTTCCGAGCATGATCAAGCAATCAAGCAGCTCTGTGAAAAGAAAGATATCAGGCGAAACGCTCATATATTGTGAAAATGAGTTTTTAAAACGAAAAAGAGATTTATTTTATCAGACATACGAGAATGAAAGCTGGATAAACCATAGTACAACATTCTCTCTCATTCTGAAGAGCGCGTGACCTGAACACATCAGTACTCGTGTCTGCGCAGGTAGCTCACCGGATCTGCGCAGGCAACGCCTGAAACAATGGGACGCAATTTTGGCAGATCGGGTTCATTAATTGGTTGTTGACACGGTGGCAGTTGATCTGTTCACCGAGTTCGGCAATCAGCTTGCAAACATTTCGTTACCATACGTAGAGAGTAAGCGACTGGGTAGGTATTCTTCCAGATCAACTTGCGCTTATAGTTTTCAAGGTAAATATAACGGTGATACTACTGATGGAGGAGGCACGCGAGTAGTATGTTTTCTTCTTGCAAATTCGCTTTGCGTCTCTTGAAAAGTGGGAGTCGCTTTGTAGCATTTGCATGGATTTGAGCATCAGTCAATGAATACCCAGGAAATTTCAGGAAGACGAGTTCAAGAGACGATGGATGCTCAATTTTTGTAAATAAGATGCAAGTGAGAGTTTTACTTCCCTGTCCAATAGTCTGCAACTGGTCAGTTGGCATTTTCTAATAAATAACTCTGCAGCGAAGGCCTTCTTCCTTTCACAGGTAGCAGTTGATCTGTTCACCGAGCTTGGTAATCAGCCTGCAAACATCTCGTTACCATACGTACAGAGTTAGCAACTGGGTAGTTATTCTTCCAGATCAACTTGCGCTTATAGTTTCTAAGGTAAATTCAATATTCCCAACCCAGTTGTTTGTTAAAAGTCTCGCTAACAGCCAGTTACGTTAAGGGTATCAACCACTCTTTAGAAAAAATATTTAAATGTTGGTAGGTCAGGAAACTAAAACACCCGGGAATAACCTTGGATTATCTTCACGTGATTGGTATGGTTAGTACCATGATTTGGCGGACGACTGACGAAACCAAAAGATACTTGAACTTCTCGTCTTACTGTGGTTCTGAATTAGGGGGGACCCATGCTGTTCGAAACATTTAGCTCCCAGTTAGCCCCGTGGGGTTCTGTCGCTAAAATTTAAACTAACCCTTCAGTTCGTTGACAGTGGCGGTCACACGAGCATCGATCCCCTTGATTTCAACTACTTCGTTTTTGGATACAGCGGCGCATATTGCACTGGTCCAGTGCAGCAATTTTACCCGGGATTACATTCATCCTTAAGATATCCGTTACAAAAACAAAGCTCATTTCATGACCACCACCCAAAGCAGATCACAGGGAAACTGGGATTGATTTTGGCGTTTATCGGTTGCCGATTAGTTTATCAGGCTTGGCATTCAGTTTGCAAAAGTTTTGTCACCAAACGAAGTTATATCATCAGTGCACGGTGGAGCGGGTTTTAAGCCAACTATAAAGCTCAGTGATAAGATCAACTAGCCAGCCGAGCTACCACTTTCGATTTTGTTGTTTCTTCAACTTGCTTTAAGTACGGATTGCGGCTAAGGCCCTTGCAGATACCAAATACAAACTAAGCTGCAACTTGATCACTAAGATGTGTCAAGCCTGTTTTTGGAAACTTGAAGCCTACCTGAAAGAATAGTGTGGGAGGTCGGGCGGCATCGGATCAATGAAGGCAATAAAAAATTAAGCTGGGAAGAGGATAACTTTCGTCTCGTTTGGACTTGACAACCAAAGAGATGTCATGATTGGATAGTCGAGCAGTGTGCGAACTTCGTAATGACTGAGGCGTCCAACTCAGGTTTTCGGACGACAAGAAGGAGGTTCAGTCGCAAATCCAGTTGTTTTATACGTATATACTTGTATTCAGCTTCCCTATTCCCACCGATTAGTGATCTCAAACAGAAAACACCTTTACGAAAAGTACGCCGGGACTGGATGGGATATCAACCGGCTGTCAGTGTGTACGACGATCTCATAGACCTAACTGCAGTAAAGGTTGACGTGGTACAACTGGGGATAGCACAGAGGCCATTAGCAATGAGTGTTTGATGGTGCTAAACAGAACTCAGGATCTAGCAGCTGAGCAAATGTTCAACAACAGGATTATCAGATATATTTTTTGATGGAACAGGTCTGCGTGTTGGCCAGTACGGTTCAGTAAAACTAATCTGGACGTTGTTGTAACCCTCAATAGATGAACTGACCACACTGCATAGGTTGCGCTGGCTTGGCCACGTGCTGCGTATGCCAGTCGACCAACTTCCTCGAAGGGATGTTTTCGCACAACCACGTGAAGGGTGGAAGAGTCAGAGGCGGTCAAACAATGACTTGGCAGCGAAGTATGAAAGCCATTACTAGCAAACTTAGCTGCGCTGGTCATTGCCGTCTTCTGGGACCCCGAGGCGGGTCATATCAATGGTTGGAGACATTGCCAGACATGGCCCTCAATGGCGTTCGTGCATCCCAGTTATTGTCTTCAATGCATAACTTCCTTCCCAATCCCCCACTTGACAGCCCACTGACAGTGCTGGATTTACGCACCAGTTTATCATCTCCCGCCTGTAATGCGTACCTACCTCCCCCTCCCCCCAAATCATCGGTGAACGAAACTGCGGTAGCTACAATCACTGTACGAGTACGCGGTTATTACAGCTGACAATGATGATGATGAGGTGAGCAAGACTGCAGTGCCTTTGTGGCTAGGTTTTATCGATCAGCCGCTGATCTTAACGCAACCACCCTTGATAATCTTACAGTACACACGAACAAATACAATATACAATCCACGTCAGTCAAGTTTTTTCACAGAACTGACATAGCTACACTCATCCTGCAGGTAGCTGGTAAGGTACCATGGGCAACTATCACACTACTTTCTAGGGCTACCGGATCTGACCACTGTTCACGTTTACAGATTTGTTTACATTGTGATTTTGCACGTGTAGGGCCCTAAGCTCAACCACAATGGCATGTACGTTGCGGCGGCGAGGTAGTTTCCGCCCACTATCCATATGGTCAGATATGAATAGGTTCAACCAGGTTATGGCGATACGCCATGGGAATCCGAGGTGGGGGGTTTAGCAAAGCGGTGGTCTCATCCAAACAACTTTCGCTCATTGTATGGACGTGACACACTACTCATAATGTTGCTGAAAACCCTTCGACAGCCCATGGCCGGTTTCGATCCGTTTGGGACTCGCCAGGTAGGCGCAGTCCCCGAGGTTCCGTCAATCTTATGTTCGACTTGAAACCAAATTGCACGAAATTTGATTTGTACACTCACCTGTATACGAATATGGTTTTGACGGGAGGCTCACCTGGAATCCAGTTGAATCTCTCGTTCATGATGTTCTCAATCGAATTCAACTGGATCCCGTCAAAACCAAATTTGTATTTAGATGAGTGTATAGGTCGGACTTTCACTCCGGATTGATCAATAATATAGCGATCGGAGGTATTAGTGTGCGGATAAATGGTTTCCCACTAAAGAAACAAGCAATGCACTCATACGGTATCAGCCAAAGAGTGTATTGATTGCCACATTGAACAATATCGCGGACGGTGTCAGGGTAAACGAATTGCAGCGAAAAAAGAAACAAACGCCAAGCAAGGCGATGGAAAGACCACATGTTGGCAATGATTAAACTGAAACCATAGCATATGTACATCCTGGGTTGACAACGGGGGGAAAAGTTCTCCCGAAAATAACAGGCATTCAAAGTAGTTCGGGGAGGATGGAAGGCGAGTGAAATTGGAGCTCTCATGGAAGGACAGTGTTAGCCGAGGCGTTGCCACACATCACGAGTTCGGTGTCGTGGAGGTTGGTTCTTTCGATACCCAAGGCGGCTGGTAACTGGTCTGAAAGATGACCACATTAGAGGACACGTGGTTAAGGAATAGGCTGTCTGTGTAAATAACCTACCTTGACTGACAAGGTTATGAGCAACAAAGAGAAAGATGGCAGATTATTTTGTACCGAATCTGTCATAGCTGGGAATCAATCGGTTTCGGTTTGATTTAGAAGCCGTGTAAGGCGTTAACAAGCATGTGCAAACAAAGATTAACTGCGCGGATATGAAAGGCCATGTGAGCTGGATAGACTACACTTCCGGCTACTGATAGGATACAACTCCTGACGTCGTTAGATCGTCACATGTCACACGTTGGCTATCCAACGGTTTGTATTTTACCAGGATGGCAAGACAACGAACGCTACAACCAGGTGTCATCTTAGCGGTATCTATCCAGACATGAGAAGCGTGAGCCGCGTGGCCCAAGGACATACAAAGCGAATAAGGACACATGTTGCACCTTGTCTTTCCAGTGTAGACGGACAAATAGACTTGGTGAAAGAGTGACAGCGTAGTTCATTCAGCTTAGTAAAACAATGTACCTTCCGATGACTGGTTGGTATAAGGAGTCATGATATGCATATCATCCAGTTAGGCTTTCTTAATTACTTAAAATAGGTAAACACACTATCTGGTTGTGGGTGGCTGCCAAAAAACTAGAAGGAGGGTCTATTGTGGTCCAAATGATTCACAGGCAATTCAAACTGACATTTGGTTGCTAACCTTACTTAGCCTCTTCATTGCGGCCAGATTGTGATATTGCCACACGGAACGATGTGTTGAATGTTATCACTTAGGAGAATGTGAGAGTGAAATCACTCGATCCCAAAATTACTTGTATTACGAGAAAGAGTCTCCCCTGGGGAGGTGTTTACAAGTCTGCTCGCCCTCTTGACATATTTCCTATTTATGTACCAACTCCAATTTAAAAAAAGGATGAGGTCCGCTTGTTTGGAGGTCCAGATAATGGGTATGCGTTTGTTCGTCTCAACGGTCTTTTTGGCTGTCGTGCATAACAATCAATCATGCGCGACGACGCTTTAGGTTCAGATAGANTATCAATGGTTAGAGACATTGTCAGACATGGCCCAGTCGCACCCTCAATGGCGCTCATGCATCCAAGTTATTGTCTTCAATGCATAACTCCCTTCCCAATCCCCCACTTGACAGCCCACTGACAGTGCTGGATTTACGCACCAGTTTATCATCTCCCGCCTGCAATGCGCACCTACCTCCCCCTCCCCCCAAATCATCGGTGAACGAAACTGCGGTAGCTACAATCACTGTACGAGTACGCGGTTATTACAGCTGACAATGATGATGATGAGGTGAGCAAGACTGCAGTGCCTTTGTGGCTAGGTTTTATCGATCAGCCGCTGATCTTAACGCAACCACCCTTGATAATCTTACAGTACACACGAACAAATACAATATACAATCCACGTCAGTCAAGTTTTTTCACAGAACTGACATAGCTACACTCATCCTGCAGGTAGCTGGTAAGGTACCATGGGCAACTATCACACTACTTTCTAGGGCTACCGGATCTGACCACTGTTCACGTTTACATTGTGATTTTGCACGTGTACGGCCCTAAGCTCAACCACAATGGCACGTACGTTGCGACGGCGAGGTAGTTTCTGCCCACTGTCCATATGGTCAGGTATGAATAGGTTCAACCAGGTTATGGCGATACGCCATGGGAATCCGAGGTGGGGGGTTTAGCAAAGCGGTGGTCTCATCCAAACAACTTTCGCTCATTGTATGGACGTGACACACTACTCATAATGTTGCTGAAAACCCTTCGACAGCCCATGGCCGGTTTCGATCCGTTTGGGACTCGCCAGGTAGGCGCAGTCCCCGAGGTTCCGTCAATCTTATGTTCGACTTGAAACCAAATTGCACGAAATTTGATTTGTACACTCACCTGTATACGAATATGGTTTTGACGGGAGGCTCACCTGGAATCCAGTTGAATCTCTCGTTCATGATGTTCTCAATCGAATTCAACTGGATCCCGTCAAAACCAAATTTGTATTTAGATGAGTGTATAGGTCGGACTTTCACTCCGGATTGATCAATAATATAGCGATCGGAGGTATTAGTGTGCGGATAAATGGTTTCCCACTAAAGAAACAAGCAATGCACTCATACGGTATCAGCCAAAGAGTGTATTGATTGCCACATTGAACAATATCGCGGACGGTGTCAGGGTAAACGAATTGCAGCGAAAAAAGAAACAAACGCCAAGCAAGGCGATGGAAAGACCACATGTTGGCAATGATTAAACTGAAACCATAGCATATGTACATCCTGGGTTGACAACGGGGGGAAAAGTTCTCCCGAAAATAACAGGCATTCAAAGTAGTTCGGGGAGGATGGAAGGCGAGTGAAATTGGAGCTCTCATGGAAGGACAGTGTTAGCCGAGGCGTTGCCACACATCACGAGTTCGGTGTCGTGGAGGTTGGTTCTTTCGATACCCAAGGCGGCTGGTAACTGGTCTGAAAGATGACCACATTAGAGGACACGTGGTTAAGGAATAGGCTGTCTGTGTAAATAACCTACCTTGACTGACAAGGTTATGAGCAACAAAGAGAAAGATGGCAGATTATTTTGTACCGAATCTGTCATAGCTGGGAATCAATCGGTTTCGGTTTGATTTAGAAGCCGTGTAAGGCGTTAACAAGCATGTGCAAACAAAGATTAACTGCGCGGATATGAAAGGCCATGTGAGCTGGATAGACTACACTTCCGGCTACTGATAGGATACAACTCCTGACGTCGTTAGATCGTCACATGTCACACGTTGGCTATCCAACGGTTTGTATTTTACCAGGATGGCAAGACAACGAACGCTACAACCAGGTGTCATCTTAGCGGTATCTATCCAGACATGAGAAGCGTGAGCCGCGTGGCCCAAGGACATACAAAGCGAATAAGGACACATGTTGCACCTTGTCTTTCCAGTGTAGACGGACAAATAGACTTGGTGAAAGAGTGACAGCGTAGTTCATTCAGCTTAGTAAAACAATGTACCTTCCGATGACTGGTTGGTATAAGGAGTCATGATATGCATATCATCCAGTTAGGCTTTCTTAATTACTTAAAATAGGTAAACACACTATCTGGTTGTGGGTGGCTGCCAAAAAACTAGAAGGAGGGTCTATTGTGGTCCAAATGATTCACAGGCAATTCAAACTGACATTTGGTTGCTAACCTTACTTAGCCTCTTCATTGCGGCCAGATTGTGATATTGCCACACGGAACGATGTGTTGAATGTTATCACTTAGGAGAATGTGAGAGTGAAATCACTCGATCCCAAAATTACTTGTATTACGAGAAAGAGTCTCCCCTGGGGAGGTGTTTACAAGTCTGCTCGCCCTCTTGACATATTTCCTATGTATGTACCAACTCCAATTTAAAAAAAGGATGAGGTCCGCTTGTTTGGAGGTCCAGATAATGGGTATGCGTTTGTTCGTCTCAACGGTCTTTTTGGCTGTCGTGCATAACAATCAATCATGCGCGACGACGCTTTAGGTTCAGATAGAATCAAATAGAAACATGGGTAAGTGCATACAATCCGGTCAGATACAACCGTCACGGCTTTGTAATTATCAGGCACATCGAGAAAACCGTCGAGTGACTGTGGATGGATTGAGTCAACAGCCAGTTTCACACTTGATCCAACTTTCTCAGTTGTGCAAACCACTCGGTGGGCGCGTGACGTGTAGCGAACCAAACAGAAAGTGCTAACTGAAGCGTCACGTGCCCGACTCCCAGATGCCAACTTGATGAGTCTGGATAGAGACGAAACATCCCACGTGAGCCGTTTGGGGACTGACTAACCCCCACTATAGCAGTGGATTATTACAGCAGGCGCATCTTGTAATGCTCCCAGCGAAATACAAGAAGAATCCGGTGGAATTCATTCTAGAAGGCGAGTCGCACTGACGTTTGATAATTGCGCTTCTAACCTTCTAACTCCGCTCGCTCGCACTCACTCACTCACTCATTCACTCACTCACTCACTCACTCACTCATTCACTCACTCACTCACTCACTCACTCATTCACTCACTCACTCACTCACTCACTCATTCACTCACTCACTCACTCACTCACTCATTCACTCACTCACTCACTCACTCACTCATTCACTCACTCACTCACTCACTCACTCATTCACTCACTCACTCACTCACTCACTCATTCACTCACTCACTCACTCACTCACTCATTCACTCACTCACTCACTCACTCACTCATTCACTCACTCACTCACTCACTCACTCATTCACTCACTCACTCACTCACTCACTCATTCACTCACTCACTCACTCACTCACTCATTCACTCACTCACTCACTCACTCACTCATTCACTCACTCACTCACTCACTCACTCATTCACTCACTCACTCACTCACTCACTCATTCACTCACTCACTCACTCACTCACTCATTCACTCACTCACTCACTCACTCACTCATTCACTCACTCACTCACTCACTCACTCATTCACTCACTCACTCACTCACTCACTCATTCACTCACTCACTCACTCACTCACTCATTCACTCACTCACTCACTCACTCACTCATTCACTCACTCACTCACTCACTCACTCATTCACTCACTCACTCACTCACTCACTCATTCACTCACTCACTCACTCACTCACTCATTCACTCACTCACTCACTCACTCACTCATTCACTCACTCACTCACTCACTCACTCATTCACTCACTCACTCACTCACTCACTCATTCACTCACTCACTCACTCACTCACTCATTCACTCACTCACTCACTCACTCACTCATTCACTCACTCACTCACTCACTCACTCATTCACTCACTCACTCACTCACTCACTCATTCACTCACTCACTCACTCACTCACTCATTCACTCACTCACTCACTCACTCACTCATTCACTCACTCACTCACTCACTCACTCATTCACTCACTCACTCACTCACTCACTCATTCACTCACTCACTCACTCACTCACTCATTCACTCACTCACTCACTCACTCACTCATTCACTCACTCACTCACTCACTCACTCATTCACTCACTCACTCACTCACTCACTCATTCACTCACTCACTCACTCACTCACTCATTCACTCACTCACTCACTCACTCACTCATTCACTCACTCACTCACTCACTCACTCATTCACTCACTCACTCACTCACTCACTCATTCACTCACTCACTCACTCACTCACTCATTCACTCACTCACTCACTCACTCACTCATTCACTCACTCACTCACTCACTCACTCAATTGAGATGACGAGTCAGTCTCAGGATGAAAAGGCGGTTCAAGCAAGCAAACAACTATGTGGAAATCTTTAGACAAACCGAAATAATTTACTTCATCGAGGTTATTGGGCGCTGGAAGTATACTTATTAGGGAGACTACTGTGCCCCTCTTTTGCAAGTCACATGAGCCACAATTTAAAGCACTTGCGATTTGATGTGATGTGGCCGCAGCAAGACCGGTAAAGAGGTCAAGGATATGACTAGCCTTCAGTACGAATCGCCTCACGAAGAGGTCACTTATTTTTGTGAGCATACTGGTGGCCGGACGGCCCATGTGCACTTTCATAGTGAATAGGTATACATGCACAGACAAAAACATTCCAAAATAATCGATTGCGTCAAATTTTCGCGAAGTAAGGCTGTATGATGGGGAGTCTCGTCCTCAACGACAGCCAAACCCGAATTTTAAAATTCCGATTGTCTGAAAATGACGCGAAATCATAATCCATAGTTCTACGATCTCGAAAACCGAGTAGCAAGTAAAGCTAACGCAAAAATGAAGTGGGCGCTAAAAACCTACCGACTTTTAGAACTCTTCTCCTCCATATCAGCGACCATGCTCATTGACGTCAACAACCGCCGTGCCGTGTGAGAATTATCGTCTTCTTGCAGAATACCAGGGCTCAGCGGTGGTTCGACATCAGGCATCAAAGTGATGGTTGTTGTTCCGTTCAGTTCATCTTGACGAACGCGGCGGTCTTTCTGCTTTCCAGAGAATACAAACGGTCTGTGGGGTGGACGCAAGTCTTCCTCCCTCATCCATGGCTCTCGAAGGTCAACCACATTGATATTTTCCAAGGATGGTGGGCTGAATGCATAATCATCTGTTAACCATCGGTTTGGGGCTGGTCCGCGATCTCTTCTTGGCCACTTTCGAGGTTGTTTTGGAGATTTGGGGGTTGGAAAGTCTATGAAGCAAGCAGACATTCATTTTAGAAAGCCTAATAGTAGCAGTGGAGAGTTTAGCTAGTCAAGTGTTACCAGCCATTCTTTTGCCCTTAATTTACCATTTTCTTCTACTGATGCAAAAGAGACTTGGATTAGCGGTGTCTGTACATTGATTTAACCACGGATAGGAAGAGACAGTTCAGGTTTTTCCCACTTCAAACGTAATACCTTCCTTGGCTATATCATCCGGACTGGTAAGAATAACCAGCTAAAAACTGTTTTACTACGTGACTAGCTCACCTCAAGCATGAGATTCGTATTCGAACCTAACACGTCTCATAGCTGCACTTTATAAGTGGCAGGTGTGAAGTGAAAACTAAACAACGAAGCGAAATTACTTAGGTTATCTAACGTTTTGTTTTATCAAGATGATCGCTTACACTTTCCTGGCATTATCTACCCACAAAACGAGGAATAAACTAGCTGAGATATGAAACTGAACTAGCCAGCAAATCAATTACAGAAGAATGTGACAGTAACCAGAAAGGGTTTTCATCAAGGAAACTACTCACAAGGTTGCTGGAAACTCTTCGACAGCCCACGACCAGTTTCGCCCTTCTGTTTCGGGCTCATCAGGTAGGCGCAGTCCCCGAGTTTTCGTCAACCTTATGTTCTATGTTTTCGAGAAATACACTCATTTGCAAATCAATTTGGTTTTCACGAGAGACTCAACTGAATCTCTCGTTTATGATATTCTACAACGGAAAGGATTGTACCAAACCCATGGACAAGGTACAGAGCCACAATACTAACCAACAGTACGATCTACAGTTTTGCAACAGTCACTAGGAAAAACCGTACTTACCAACAGCCTCTCTCCGGGTGCCGATTCGCGCTCGGAGCTCGTCGGAAATACCAACCACGACATGTGGCTCCTCCTCATCGACATCATACACGTTATCGTAGACAACCAACTGTCGATCGGGTGCCGGACCGTCCGCGTCTGGATTCATGAACGCTGCACGTAGTTTTTTGACCTTTTTGACCGGCATTGCGATCCCACCGACGGCATCCGGGTTTTCGTACGCTTTCGTGATCTCTTCAACCAGATCGCGGGTGAGAAGACGAGCGTCATGAGAACAACTGTCCATGTCTAAAGAGTCCGCTTTTTTCTTCGGCCCCTGTAATCGGCGACGGTAGGATCGACTCAGTATGCCAGTCATCCCTCCGTAGTTTGGATTGCCATATCGGCGATAGTACAAGCTGCGACGTTCGGCACCCGGCAATTTGACATCAGCTGCAGGATCAACAAGCAGGATAGATTTACTGAGAGAACTGGTAAAAAACCTGGTAGGTGAAATGTGGTAGATGTGACGTAGCCAGATTTCAGTACGACCTGTGAATTGGTATCGCAGATTTAAATACAAATCCACTCCCAGGAATGAAAAGCTCTTCGAACCTAACAGTCCAGTTTATTGGTTGCCAGACAGGCAGTTAAACACCAATATTTACGTTTTAATGCGCCGTTTCGCCAGTCACCGAAATTAACTCACACAGAATCAATCGCCCAAACACTTGAATCCTTGACTTAGAAACGTATGGCATTGTGTAGTTTCAACTTGCTACTGAAGGGGAGAGTCGGATCTTCGTGGTTACAGTGAATACATCTAGGCCCTCGGATTTTCACATCGACAAGGCTCTGCTTGGTTCTCCCTATCTAACTGAAGGACTGTCAGGAGCGTGCGGGACGGCATGAGAGCAGCAAAACACCCTCCTCCTGATTGTACGGGGTAACGATTACATCTTGACAGCCGAGCCAAACCAGATTGGGTCAGCCAAAAACTCAGGATAAATTCAACTAAGAATGTGAAGGCAGCTCTCGCATTTTGAACGGTGGCGACCAGTTTTGGATCGGAGTAGTGCGATAAAAAGTTTTTGATCCCAACGTGCAGGCCACAATGAGTTGTGAAAGGGTTATAAACACACGCCCGAAAAGAAGCGAGGTGGGATTGGTAGAGTGACGCATGGCATTCTGAACAACATGAACGAAGCCTGCAAATTTTACGAAGACAGCTCACCCTCAAGCAGAATCTAACTAAACAAAAATAAAAATAATGTGTATTCACTTTACAGTGTGACCGGGAGAGCGCGAAAACTCAGCAAACCCATCGACACCACTGTTGGAATTTCTGCTCTAGGCGTTCGCTCACGTAAAACACAAACGACTGACCACCCCTTGTCAAGTGCTTATTTAGTTTTGTTGGAATACGACGCATGTTTGTGATACAGGCCATCCTATCTATGGATTGATAAGGTTGTTTGCTTATGGACCCGTACAGCGATTCGCCACGGTGAACAGTTTTGGGCTGCGCCCACGAGCTGCGTGGCGAGAATGAGCCCACACACCCCAAAGAGGTCGATTTGGAGGCATTGGAAGTAAACATAGTGAGGACTTAATACGTTTTGGTCAAACATTGTTCGTAAGCCAAAGTACATACCAAATTTATAGGGCACCAGAAATCACGTGAGAAAGGCCGTGTGAAAATCAGAGGTACATACACTTTGGTGAAAGGAAAACAAAAATAAGAGGAGGGGATAGACGGATAAATGGGTCACGGGATCAAGTGACGTCAATGTCAGACGAGTTTGCGGGATCGGATTCTTCGCAGGCAGGTCATGTTTCTTTTGTGCTTGAGGTTCAATTCCAGCCCCACTATGAGGTTCTGCTTGAAGGAAGAATTGCCGCGTTCTACCACCAGCTTTGTGTGTACTAATTTGTTTGCTCATGCCGAGAATCACACGTTGTCCATACGATAGGGCATTTGTCGGACAGAATGCGAGAACACAACCCGTGTCCGCGAATGGAAGTTGGAAGAAACCAGGCTCAAGTGCAATTGCATCACACTTGGTCGNGGGAACCAGTCATATCATCGAAAAGGGAAGGCTTTCGATAAAATATACTGGGCATCTCTGAAACGATAACGGCTGATACTATACAGACTACTATCGACCGTATAAGCGATTGGAATCCGACTGCTGGACTCACAAATTTGCGTCCAAAAGAAACTTGTGCGACCTCCGAACATGATCTGATTTACGAAGAATTGGGCCTCACAAACTTATCTGACACTCGTATGACGTCACTTACTTGATTCCGTGGCCCGCTGACCGACCCCTAATTCGACCCTTTCTTTCTATTTTCGTTTCTTCTCACTAAAGTGTATGTACCTCTGATTTTCGCAACTTTTTCACGTGATTTCTGGTGCCATATAAATTTGTCGTGTAGTAGCCAAGATAATCAGTCACGGAAAGCAAGTTTTGTTCGCTACCTTCGCTCTTTCCATGACTTTCACCGGTATATTCAACCATTTGAGAGGAAAACGGACCCTAAGTTTGGAACCCCATAAGCAGTCGGATTGTCATAAGAAATTGCCTACTTCACATTCTGATAGTAGTATGAATTTTGAGAGCCATGTGGTGCACAGCATACAAAACTAAAAGGCAGAGCGATGTGGGGGAATGTGAAGTAAACCTTGAATAAAGTTGCCCACGGTAACCGAAACGTCGGATTACATTTTATTCCACTAAGTTTTTGACTGTAACAAATTCTATAATCGTGTTTAGTTTACCTTACACTGGCAACCGAAATGTCGAATTATAATACCCCACTGAACTGTGTTTTGGCTTTAAAGTTTCTACATAATGTGAATTTTGCACGCAATTTGTGAAATGAACGGCCGAGCACCGACCTGAAGTCCGTCGACCTGGATGTGGAGCGCGGGAAACCCGAATGCGACAGGAACTTTCGGACCCGAATATAAACAAGAAATACCAACCTTTAATTTGTGAGGAGTCAACAACCGGTATTATATGGCTCAATGCGGAGGTTTGTTAAGCCTGGCACCAAGTGTTCCTGAAGTCGTTATTCGTTAGGTGGACTGTCTGAACTCGCAGTACCCAGTCGATCGAGTTCTACGTCTCCCCAGGTAACGTACACGTCCCCTCTCAGAAGGGTGTCTCACTCAGTCACCAGCGCTGTTTATTCATTCGATTAAACGACGCAAGTGTCAGGACTTCCACTACGAAGCCGGAGGCACATAATGACGGTACACAAGTAGACAAGGGCTTCGTAAAGGACTGCGATTACCGGTCGGTGGGTATCCTGAACACGAGTTCGCTGCGTGCGCCAATCGTCCAGCTGCAAAGTCTTTCATGGGATGTCAATAATCCCTCTGCCAGAAGGTGCAGACCTTCTGAATTGATAACCTTTAAAGTCAGGAATTCCACTGTTCACATTGCTATAACTATGTTCCTGTACTCATGTGTCACCCTACGTTTCATCCGACCATAAAGTCTGATAAAAGATTAGTTACTGCAATCAAGGTATGCTCTGGTGCAGTCCCCTAATGGAAGAATGCCATGGAAGAATAGGACAATGGCTCTCTCTCAGGACGCTACATACTGAGTTCGACACAACGAAAAACTTTTCTGTGCCCTTTTCAGGAGGTGGCCTTCTGGTGAGATGATACAATAGGAACGAACCTGTCCAGTTGCTTCTACCTCTGATTATACAATGCAGTTTACTGGTAAACTTTCGCCTATATGAGCATGAAATCAGTTTATAAAAAGAAGCGAAGCACTGTTTCACGGTATCAGTAAGACATGAAGTGGACGTGCAATCATTCGCTGTCGCTGCAAAAATCATGAGAAACCATTGGCACGTCATGTTTTGGTGTGTGCAGCGCAAGAATACCCAGAAAACTCCCAACCGCTCGTGTGCTTTTCAGCACCGGAACAGCTAGAGCCGATTGTATCGGTTTCGGCTGATTTTCGTAAAAGGACGGCGGTGTGCCACCACATTTAGTGCCGCGATATTTGTTCGACGAAAATGTTACGGATGAAGGTCAAATTGGGTGGGCCCGGTATAGTTGTGGAGCTGCACGAGCATTAGGTGGCTCGACAAAAGTAACATGACTGTCAAATGAATGGGTTCACATGGTAGGACTCAAAAAAAGAGTCTTTGACGGGTGGATTGGTGGGATGCTGAGACATCTTTTCCAGGAACTCCAACACACATACACACGTGGATGAATAGCCTTTGTTAGATCTTGGTTAGATTCATCAAACTGTCATGAGTGTTGGCTGAAAACCGAGTAAATAATTTTTGGCCTGGAGTGAAGACTAAAAGTGATTTACGGCGAGAAAGAAGAACGTAAAAAGAATCATTTGGACGGAATTACACCTTAATACGGAATATTGTTTTATCCAGATGGGATTCATTCGTTGTTGGCCATAGTGGGGGAATTGACGTTGTTTTATTTCGTCCATTGTTACACAGAATTATTACGGTTAATTATAGGTGTTGTTTCGGGAAAAGCGATAGGCGAAAACTATGGGTGCACTGAAAAGTTGCCGCAGCATGTACGTTGTGTGTGTATGTGGGAGGTGGGTAAGCTCGCTAGTTGATCATTCTGTCGGCCCTTCTTGGGGCAGTTCTTGGTCCTGCATCGTTCGGGTTGTGCTCGTCACACGTTATCGATGAACGACGTCGGTGAATGACAGAACCGAGCAGAAAGAAGTGAATCAAATTTAAGGCGCTAAAATGGTTCAACCAAGATTTCGCAATGTTGCGTGTATGCGCCAAATCTCACCAGCACACTGGGAACGACGACAATCGACTGTAGTGCATGTTCCCTTGATGCGCTTTCCACTGGAATCATTAGCTAGCAATCAATAGATACCGTTGGCAGTCCCAAATTCGGGTTATATTCCGGTTTCCAACACAACACAGCACTCGACAAATTCAATAGGGTTCCTATTTTGGTTTCCCAACAGATAATGTACGGGGTCGCATTGGTGGCAAAAACAACACGCGTATGGAATTCATGGATACTGGAGACGACCTTTGAACAAATCTTCAAACTATCTACGCAAACTTGATAGGGAACAGTCAACAGATAGGAGCAAGTTGCAGGGCGTCAACCGACACGGAGCTAATGTCTACGTACAAAAGAAATAATACATACAGGGAGAGGGAAAAAACAGTGATTGGTTGTTCGATGTTGGTATGGAACCCTCTTTTTATTTTACATCAATCAAATAGTGAATGAATAATCGTCCAGCTGCAATATTTTTTCGGTGTCTAGCTGTCATGCTATACCTGAGGGAAGCACGAGGGCTGATATACTGCCAGGTTGCCATAGCCTAGACAGGAGCAGACGTTGAGTTCGGCGCATGGACCACCTTCCGATCAGTAAGTTAACGCGTTAACCACCAAACCATCTCAAGCTTTTACTTCAATCAGCCCAGCATACATAAGAAACCGAAAAATCGACCATCCTGAGAACGTGTCTTCAATGTGTCCAGCGCTGTCAGAGTCACGAATTTTCGTTGAGATACCATCATCATCGTAATCGACAGTATGACGTCAGTGTTCAACACCGATACTTCGCTGCTGTACAGCCATGATTTATTCGAAAATTTCATTGCGAAGAAAAGAATAAAACTTCAAAGGGAATGGACTTAGTGCTAGCTTACTACAATCATTCCAAGGTGCCTACACCTCTAAACGCTCATTTAAGCAATCTGGATAGAAACTGACATCAAGATCGCCACTGATATCGGTTGGCAGCCACATCTTGCAGCGTCTCCAACCAGGTGCACTGAGGATCACGCGGTCCGCCACATCTTCAGCGTCTCCAACCAGGTGCACTGAGGATCACGCGGTCCTCATCCTGGAAGGCGAGTAGCACCGACAGCACCCGAACGTTTCGTTGGAAAGTTATTATTGACCTGGATAGTTATTGCGTGCGAGGCGGCAATTAATGGTACAACATGCTGGTGAGTTCTTCAGTGTAGTAATAAAAAACTGTTCCCAAGAGTTAGTTATGTGGCTCCCGTATACTTAGCGGCTCACTGACAACCTGACACGTTTATTCGCACGTAGTCCCAAAGATGTCTACGAAACAACAACGGAGTAAAGTGGAGGATGATATTTTGAAGCCCCCTTAATTAGAATACCAAAGAGACGTGTTACACATATCATGTGAATAAAAACAGGTGAGAACTAACGCCACATGCTTGGCGCAGTCTGGCTAATACGAAAGAGAACTGAAGTGTGCCTATAGTTATTTCGCAAACCGTCTAAAATACTGTCATCGCTCATGAAACACAATATCCCAGAAATGTTACCGGGCCACTGAGTTGGCTATCTATCCTTAAAATTGATTCAAAAACTACTGAGTGAACTTATACTTATCTCGTTCACCGAAGCTTATGGAGAACTCACTCGTGTGGGCGAATCGCAGGAAAAGAGAAACCGTTTTGGACGGGACAGAAAGTGCTTTGAACCAACGCCCAGAAGGTGGAAGGTATTGGGAAAACGCCTCGATCGAATCTAATGTTTCCGAAGAGACTTGCAGCGACGGAGGGTCTGAGTCTGTGGCAGCGTTATGCGCATCGGATTCTGTCTGATCAGCAATGGACTTATCTCTATCAGTCGAAGGCAATCCGATTCGGTGGGATCGAGAATCCAGGTCATCTTCATCTTCTTTTTCAAGTAACGCAGCCAACGCGGCAGCCGCGGCAAGAGCGACGCGCCGGTCAAACGGTTCAGCGAAATCACAAATAATACGCAAAACGGTATTCGGACTCGAGAAAACAACATTGCCTGAAGCGGAAGAAGATGAAACAGGACGGTTAGGTACCTAAAGTTACAGATGGATGCATACAGAAGGCTAAGAGGGGTTCTCAAGTTACATCTAACAGTTTAACTGACTTGTTCGGGATATTGAACGAACGATCAGTTGGGTGTAACACCCCTTCCTGGCCTGACTGTCATGCCAACAGAAAAAAAGTACGAAGGCCGAAATGCTGCCACGTTGTTCAAGCCTAACCAGGGGCAGTCGAGATGCAAGGGTTAGGTTCAAAGCGCGCAACTTGCAGTCGGTGATTTTGCGCCGGGCCATCTCAAGCACAGCATCGTGTTACTACACTGTTTCGGATTAAACACAACCTGGAAAGTATATGTTTGTGATGTAATACACATAAAGTTGCTGAAAATCCCGCCGTCCCCGGTTTCCGTCAACCTTATATTCTACTTGAAACCAAATTGCACGAAATTAGCGAATATACACTCATTTGCAACAAATATATTAAAGC